CTGAGGCTGAGGCTGAGGCAGGCTGATGCTGAGGCAGGCTGAGGCTGAGGCTGCAGGCTGAGGCTGAGGCTGAGGCTGAGGCAGGCTGAGGCTAGGCTGAGGCTGAGGCTGAGCTGAGGCTGAGGCTGAGGCTGAGGCAGGCTGAGGCAGAGCTGGAGGCTGAGGCTGAGGCTGAGGCAGGCTGAGGCTGAGGAGGCTGAGGCTGAGGCTGAGGCTGAGGCTGAGGCAGGCTGAGGCTGAGGCTGAGGCTGAGGCTGAAGCAGGCTGAGGCTGAGGCTGAGGCTGAGGCAGGCTGAGGCTGAGGCTGAGGCAGGCTGATGCTGAGGCAGGCTGAGGCTGAGGCTGAGGCTGATGCAGGCTGAGGCTGAGGCAGGCTGAGGCTGAGGCCGAGGCTGAAGGCTGAGGCTGAGGCTGAGGCTGAGGCTGAGGCTGAAGGCAGGCTGAGGCTGAGGCTGAGGCAGGCTGAGGCTGAGGCAGGCTGAGGCTGAGGCTGAGGCAGGCTGAGGCTGAGGCTGTGACTGCGACTGCCGTTGCCACTGCGACTGTCATCGCGAATGCGACTACGACTGCGAGAACCGCAGAATTCGACAACTGGATTCTCATCTGAATCTTAAGGGGAATGCTTCCAGATATGCTCCTACACATCGCTGTTAGGTTGCTTTGCCGGGATAATTCTTATTTTTCGTCAAGAATCCGCTTGTAGAGAGACGTGCCCGACCTAAGTCTTGCGCCGAGGAAGCTCCCGGAGGCCCGCGCCGCCCGCAGCAGATTGTTGCATTGTCTCTGTGGCAGCTCAGTCCACGGGGGCCGCTCCAGGAAGGGCCTCGCCTGCCAAGGTTCGGAGGAGCTGTGCTCTCCTCCGCGGCGGTAGGCCGGCGGGAACAAGAAGAGCAGGATGCCGCCGCCGAACGGAAGGCGGCGGGAGGCCTGCGGACGCTGACGGGAGTAACAGATGTGGCCCCAGGAGTCGAAGAAGAACACCATTTACATAAACATAATTTTGTTGGCGCTCCGCGCGGAGCGCCAAAGGTTCGTGCTTACGCCGTTCATTCCTTTTCTAAGGAAGTGGAAACGTTTTGTTTTCAGGGTTTCTGGAATCCGCCACATATCCGCCCCGTCAGGTTTTGGGACCGTCCTGGGGCCGTTCGGAGCGCTCCTGGGGTTGTGTTGGAGCCATGTTGGGATCCCAGGAGGGCCTCTCGAGGCCGTCTTGGAGGCTATCGATTTAAGGGGGGGTCCCCGATTTGCATCCCCCGTTTGTGGCCCTTTTGGGGTCGTCTGCGGGGCCTCTTGGTCTCCTCATGCGGCTCTCTTGGGCCATTTTGGGGTCATCCTGAGGCTTCAGAACCGCATCGGAAGCGAACGGGCGAGAAGGCAACAATTATTCGGAAAGCCTTACGGCTGGTGCCGCCGACCTTGAAGGGAGACGACGACCACGACGGCGGCGGCGGCGGCGATGACGACGCTGACGTGCGACAGAGTCCTCAGGGATGCTTCGTGGGGCCTCTTCGGAGCGCGCTCGTAGGCCTCAGGGGGGCAGTTTTGGGGCCTCGTTGGGGCATGTACCTTCGGGCTTCCTGGGGGCCTCTTTCGGGGCCTCTTGGAGCCTCGTGGGGGCCTCTTGGAGAGAGACTCCTGGGAGCTTCTCGGGGCCGAGGGCTCGAAATATTCGTTTCGGGCTCCCTCTTGGAGCCGTTATAGGGGCCTCTTGGGTCGTGTGGGAGGCCTCCAGGGCCGTTTGGGAAACCTCTTGGGGGCCTTTTTGTGTCGATCTTGGTGGTGTCTTGTATCGTCTTGGGGCGTCGGGAAGCCGAAAAGGCGAGAACGCCAGAACCTTTCAATTAGCGCGGCAGCTGATGCAACGATGCGACGCAGGCCCTGGAGGGGGGATCGAGTCAAACCGGCGACGTAGGCGGACGACGTGGACCATGCGATGTTAAATGATTGTGGGGGCGGTAGGGATGAGAGCGGAGGCCAATGGTGGCCGCTGGCAAGTTCCCGGATAGGTATTGAGAGCTAAGAGGGTTTCAGATAAAGAAGCCGGAGCCGCAGGGTAGCCCCAGAGGTCGTTCCGGCTTCCGCGAAAAATCCCCGGAGAAGGTTGTCCGGCCTCGCAGCGCGTCCCAAGAAGCATTTCCTAAGCGTTTCCCAATACGCGTGTCTGGCAGCTCTCCAGAAGGTCCTTCGAAACCTATCTCCAGGTCTTTCCAGAGTTCTTCGACAGGCCTTCTCACGCCTTCCAAGCGCCTTCAAGGCGCCTGGGTGACGTGATCGGCGTGACGGACCCCCCCCCCCGATCACGCGCGTGATCGGCCCGAATAAACGAACGGGCTCTTGCTATCCGGGCTTGGAACCCACAAGTGCCATGGCAGCGGCGAGAAAGGGTGGAGGTCCTCCGCTCCCGCAGCCCAGTAGTCGGGGAAACGGACTGGGCGCGGGCGGCTGCGCCGCGCCTGCCGCAACCCCACGCGCGCCATCGGGAATGGGCGCGGACGTAGAGCTGCGGGCGTTATCGTGATCAGCATCATCATCATCATCATCATCATCATCATCATCATCATCATCATCATCATCATCATCATCATCATCATTATCATCAACAGCATCATCATCATCATCGTTATCATCATCGTCATCATCATCACCATCACCATCATCCGCAGCACCACTATCATCACTGTCAGCACGGCCATTAATAGTAACATCAACATGTCCGCAAACACCCACGATGCCACCATTGCGGTCGTCTCTGACATCGGCGTCATCATCGGACTCGTTGGCATCATAATCGCATCGTGTCACCCTTATACTCATCATCATCCGCATCATCATCATAGCCATCGCCATCACCGTCATCATCATCATCATCATCATCATCATCATCATCATCATCATCATCATTATCATCATCATCATCATCATCATCGTTACCCGCATCATCATCATCATCATCATCATCATCAACAACTTCGTCATCACAAACATCATGAGCACTATCACCGCTGCAATATGTTGTCCTCATCGTTTGACACATCATCATTATCGTCGGCATCACCCGCATTCCATCGCATTATCCTCGCCATCATCATCGTAATCGTCGTCGCCATCCTCAGCTGCACGAGCACTAACACCGTCATCCGCGCTCGTCGAAATCCAGCAACGGCGATCACGAAGTTCGGTCGCACCGAAACGGAGTCCGGTAGCGCCGAACGAAATGTGGTAGCGACCATGCGCTCAAATTCGATAGCGCTGAAACCAGTTTCGGTAGCGCGCTGCTGGCTTTCAGGCGCAAGTTCTATCGTGCATGCAATGCGTTCGCTACCGATTTTGTGAATTCTGATTTTTGGTATCTCGATCGGGACTGGATCCTGTCAAGCGCTGCTGGAAAAAGTAGGTATCGGATGATTTTCAGGAGGGGGAAAAGCACAAACACAATTCATCGTCGATCCCGAGGAAAATATGGGAACATATGGGAAGTGGGGGGGGGGCAACACTAAAACCCAGAAAATATGTGAAACTATTGGGAATCTTTGGATTTTGTCAATTTATTTGCGTGTCCCAGGGCCCCTCTAGATTTGGGTTCTGACCTGGGCCCTTCCCCCCCCCCCCCCCCCACACCCCGACAGGGAAGGGAGCAACGGAAGGGGATTCCCTTCGACTTATCTACGACGTTCCTTTATATTGTAATGGCCTCTGGCCGATGCCGCCGATCCAGGGGACTCCGGATTCGGTGATCTTGGAGTCGTCGGGGGCGCTGTTTAGGGCGCTTTTGGAGTCGTCAGGGACGCTTTTGAGAGCTGATGTGCCCTCTGGGGAGGGTGCGTGGAGCGGTCCTGGGGGGGTCCGGGGAGGGTTTCGAGGGAGGGTCCTGGGGGCGGTAGCGGCTGGATCCGAGGCGGGTCCCTGGGACCTCCCGAAACATCAGTAAGACAACGCCAGATGTGGGACCGCCCCCACCCCCCTCCCCCCTTCCCCGGGGGGAGTCCGGGGAGGGTTCCGAGGGGAGAGTCCTGGGGGGGGTCCTTGGTAACCCCCGAAACATTTTGGGGATGCGCAAATCATGAATAAAACGCCAGACGGAGGGCCCCCCCCCCCTGCCCCCCTTCCCCGGCAGAGCCACCCTGCCGACCCCCCCGAAGCAGAGCTGAAGCTCTTGCTTAGGCTCAGAGCTGAAGCTCTTGCTGAGGCTCCTTGTAGTTCATACTCCGGATCGGCGGATTTGTTCCATGTCTTTTGGGGCTGGCGACGACGACGACGGCGACGATAAGGACGACGACGACCCAAACGGAAACAACGTCTCACATACGCCGAAGTGTCGGCGGCTTTCTGTTGTGGAACGTGTTTGTGGTTTGGGCTCACTGTGGCCAGAAAAAAACTCCTTCCCTCCTTGTTATGCGTTCCTTCTGGTTCGCAGCGGCATGGTGTCGGTGCTTCTCTCTCGCACTCTTGTCCCTCCACCCCCACATTTTCATCACTCCAGAGTGCAGCTCGGGGGCAACAACCATGTCTGGCCAGCGGAGTCACAATGGTGGTCCTCACGCTCGACGCAGCTATATCCTGGGCCCTCGTCTGGATTGCACCTCCTGGCAGGTCAGATTCGGCATGGTCGCTGGTATCCTGGCGCCTCTTCGCTCACTCAGGCCTGCTCTGGCTTTATCCTAGGCTTGATCAGGCTTTCCCTGGCTCCGTGGCTGGCTCCGTACTCGGCTGGGCGTCGCGTAGTGGGGGGACGATAAAGAGGGGAGGGCAGCGAGGGCAGCAGAACAGGGCCCCCGAGGGCCCCCAAATGGAGCCCTTGAGGGCCCAAAGGGAAGCCTTCGGGGACCGAGACGTGCACCCTTTTTTTCCCTCCCATGATTGCCCCCCCCCCCCCCCCTTCGAGCGACGCCCACATGGGGCCCGGGAGGGCCCTCGATCGTTCCCCCGGAGACCTGCAAAGCGTCGCCTCCCCAACCCCCGGGCCTCCGCGGCCCCGGCCGCGCCCCTTCTCAGCCCCTTCCGCCCCGAGCCCCTGCCGGAGACCGCCCGCCGGCTCCGCCCCCCCCGCGGCTCCCGCAGCCTCGCCCCCGGGCAGCATGGCGCAGTCCCTCGCACGGGCGGGTGCCGCCCAGGTGGAGACGCTGCTGCTCCAGCTAAGCGGCCCGCAGGAGCACGGACCTCTGCGGCCGTGGTTTTTGTTCGGGGCCTCGAGGCCGGACTCGCCCCGCACTCCTCAGACAGTGTTTGCACCTTGGGGTTCGTGTTTCGATGTGGCAGCGTTTTCCGATTCGTTGTTTTTCTGTTGGTCCGCGCGGGCCCTCGCCTCCCCCCCTTCCCGCTCCCCCGCGCCGTGGAGTGGATCTGGCAGCTGTTTTTGACGCCTGTTTGAAGCAGGTGGATTCTCCTCCACAGGACGCACTGTTGCAAGCAGTCGCATGTGGCAGAAATTCGACCGCGCAATGTCGAAACGCCGAAAAAGAAAACGCTTACTTGCTTGATAATCGGACGGGTCCGCCGAGGACTTTCCACGTTGCCGCCCACGTGCCGCCTTCTGGGCGCTCGTGGGCGCCCCGTGCGCTGGGCGGGTTTGCCGAGGTGGCGCCATGTTGCCACCCGTGTCGCCTTGTGGTCGTTCGTGGGCACGTCCCCTGAGAAATTCGTCCGCACACGAGAGTGGCTGGCTCTTCGCCAGAAGATCCATTGGTGAGGGCCCACAGGGGTCCCCGCAGCACTTGCTTGCGCGCTTGAACTTGCCTCCTCCCCCCCCTGCGGCCCCTGAAGCCGGTCACCCAGGGGAACTCTTGCCCACGTCGTTGTTCTTGCAACCAGGATTTGGGGGCGTCGTATATTTCCACATCCTGCGCGTTCGCACGGTTTCTGCTACAACTGGAGGCTAAAATCTAGAAGTGGATTGCGATTTTATCTGGCGACAGCAGCAGGACAGACGCGTGCAGGCGTCCCGCAAGGGGCACGGAGGCAAGAGACACAGTGAGCCCACCTGGCCCGCACGAGATCAATCCCGCTTGCACAACATATGATTGAATTGGTCCCCCGATTCATGCTGCGCCTCGTTGATGGCACCGCTTAGAACACACAGCTGATACCGCACCGTAGATTGCGCAACCTACAAGTCACCACCTAAAGTTCACTACATTTAGACACCATCACCACATTCTGTTTACACTGCCATACATGGCACCGCGAACGCTACACATGGTTAGTAATTTGGCGTTTGAAGCGCACGCTGGCTAAATGTGGATGTCTGGTGCATTTGGGCCCCCGGGAGCCCGATCCTCTCCAGATCCGCTGCCTACAGAGGTCCTGGGGCATCGTTTCCTTGGCGGTGGATGTGCGCAAGTTCTGGCCTCGAACCGACCCCTCTTCCCCCTGGGGCCCTGGGGCCTTGGGGCCTGGAGCGGGTCCCAGGAGGCCGAGGTCCCAGTGTTGCAAGGGGCACGTCGCCAGAGGTCTGCGGCAGGAGGCAGCCGCCGGTTCCGTGGCGCTCGGCGGCTGGTCGTCTCTGCTGGCCTCTGGCGTGCTGGTGCAGCGCTCGAAGGGGGCACGCCAGACTGGCGGCGGCGGCGCCCCCCCCGAGGGCGAGCTCGGCCCTCTCGGCACAGGTCGCGCCGGCGCGGCGGCGAGGGCCAGGATCGAGGACGAAGACGAAGACGAAAACCAAGAGGACGAACACCAAGACGAAAAGATGAAGAAGAAGGAAACTAACAAGTATAATGATACGAATAATAATAATACCACTAACATTAATATTATTTCTAAAATGTCAAGAATATTAGAAGTAAGAAGAAGAACAAGAAACAGAAAAGAAATAATAAGAAGAAGAAGAAGGAAAAACGGCATGAGCAGGCACTTTCGGAGGTCCGCGCTGGGCCCCCTTCCCTGGCGCGCTCCCAGGGAAGGGGGGCCGGAGGCGCCGCCGGGGTGTCCCGCCGCCGATCGAAAGAGACCGGCGTGGGCTTCCGAGCGTTGCTGCTCACGTCGCTGCTCTGGGCCTCGCAGATGGGGTCCGAGTAGCTCGGGTCGGAGGGTTGCCTCGAAGTGGAGCCCGATGGTCTCCACGCCTGCGTCGCCGATGCACCGCCGACGTCGCCGATGCATTGGCGATGCATCGGCGATGCAGTGGCGATGCGGCGCGCTATTCCCACCCCATCTACTCGGACCCCATCTGGACGTTGATTAGTCTCTTCTCGACGAGAGGAGCCCGCTGCACGTCGTGGGGTCCCTGAAGGTCGAGACGGTGGACCTCGAGAGCCAGTCCGACTGCAGCACCGCGGCGCCGGACCTCAGCCACGCCCAGAGGGGGGGATGGGGGCGGGGAGAGACTTAGGGGCACCACTACTTCTTAGAAGGCGCGGGCCTTAACTGTAGATGCAAGGCCGGCGCCTTCTAAGAAGCAGCCTCCCTCTAAGAAGTCTTCCCCCCCTCCCTCTACGGCAGGTTCATGCGTCGATGGCGCGCCGGCGACGCCCGCGAATTTCCAAGATTGAACTCCGCATTGTAGAACGACGCGGAAGAGCTACGGGACACGGTAAAGCCACATGACCCGACGGAATTCAACGTTGCACGATCAGGGCCGCGATCGGTTCAAGGTGAAAAGATCGACGCGGTGTCCAAGACCTTTGCGCGCGCCGACGCCGCACGAACCTACCGTACCACCTTCTGCGCGCCGCCAATTGGCGGCGCGCACGGGGGTAGGGGGAGGGTAGAAGGTTTTTAGAAGGAGGCTGCTTCTTAGAAGGCATGGCCCTGTCTATAGATGGAAGGCCCGCGCCTTCAGGCTCCCTCTAAGAAGCCTTCCCCCTCCCCAGACCCCCGACGTCGCGGACTGCATCCCTTCCCTGGGACCAGTTTATCATCCTGAATCGTTTTCTGACGGTCCCGAGGCCGGGTAAGGGCCCTGGGAGGCAGAGAATTGCGAACAAAAATCCCGTCGTGTTTTGTTCGCATCGCGAGGGTGTCTGGGTCACCCTGCTTCGGTAGCAAATCATTGGAGCCTTGTGTGCCATCGTGATTCGGTCTTTAGCGTCAACAAGCGTCGATTAGCGTCTGGGAGTCGTTGATAGTGCCGGTTTAGGACGGTTAGCATTACTAGTGTCGATTTGGTGTCGATGAGCGTCGATGTAGCGTCGACTAGCGTCGATTCGCAAGAGCCGACAATATGATATGGGAGGCCCCCATGAGTTGCTACCGAACCAGCAAGAGGAAGCGGAGGAGGAGGAGGAAAGGAAGGGGGAGGAGGCGGAGGAGGAGGAGGAGGAGGAGGAGAAGAAGGGGGAGGAGGAAAAGGAGGAGGAGGAGGAGGAGAAGGAGAAGGAGCAGGAGGAGGAGGAGGAGGAGGCGGAGGCGGAGGGGAAGGAGGCGAGGAGGGGGAGGAGGAGGAAGGAGGAGGAGGAGGAGGAGGAGGAGGAGGAGGAGGAGGAGGAGGAGGAGCCCCCATGCGCGCGCCACCGAGGACCTCCTGGCTCGCACGCCGCTGCAGACGCCAGTCGGGCCCTCGCCCCTGGCGCCGCGCGCGGGGGCGGTGCCGAGGCCCCTCAGCGGGGAACCGCGCGGGGCCTCCGCGCCAGCGGCGGGACTGCTGCCGTCGGTGGGCTCCGCGGGCCACGCGCGGGGCAGCTGCAAGCCGTGCGCCTTCGTGTACAGGTCGGGTGCTTCGAGCAGGGGCGAAACGTCCCGGAGTGCCCATGTGGCCACCAAGGAAAGCGTTATAACCAAGAGCATTTTTGTGGTGTGCACAAGATGCTCTCTGAACGTCTATGGCTGGGGCTGAGTTGTTTTAGCACATCGGGCTGATGTTCTAAGAATGCTGTGTTTGTTTTTTCGATCATTCGTTGGTCCTAAGAATATGTGGTGGTAGGCCTCTAGGATTGTGAGAAAGAAGTGCTACCACAGCTCACATGCCTTCAGAAACATTAATATAGCTTTCAAGTAACTCAAAAGTAACTTCGGCCTCATGTGGTCGATTTGAGGCACCTGGGCTGGTGAGGCCCCGATGGAAGAAAGCCATTGGGAGCTCCGCAAACCACGTGCCTCAAATCAATCGCACGCGGCCGAAACTATTACTCCTCAGTCCTTTCCTCCTCCTCCTCGTCCTCCTCCTCTTGGCGTAGCAGCGTTCTCGCTCCTCGTTATCTTTTTCCCCTTTCTTCTCGTCCTTCGCCTTGCAGTGTTATTTGTGCAGTTGTGTGTTATTTGTAGCGTGCCCGCGCAGGGCTCATTACTTTGTCAGTGGTTTGCTGAGGAGGAGGAGGCAGATGATAGGGAAAATGAGGGGAGGGGGAGAGAAGGAGGGGAGAAAGAGGAGAGACGAAATGAGGACGAGGAGGCGAATAGAGGGGTGGTGGAGGAAGAACGAGAGGGACGAGGAAGAGTGAAGATGGACAGCAGCGAAGGGATAATGAAATGAAGAGGGGGGGCAAACAGGTGGAAGGAGGAAGATGAGGAGGAGCTGCGGGCCTCGCTGCCGCTGGGGCTCCCCATATCGCAGGGGCCTTCCTCCCTCCTCCCTGCTCCCATGGAGCCCTCGCCGTGGGACGCCGTGGCGGCGGCGGCCGCCGCCACCGCCCCCGCCGCCGCCCCCGCCGCTCCCGCCGGCGCCGCTGGCGCCCCCGCTGGGTTGGACGCGGTTGCTCGTCTGGGGGCGGCGCAGGAGGCGCTGGCCACCAGGGGCACGGGAAGGAAGAGGGGCCGTCCTTTCGAGGCGTTGAGGGAGGCCCAGTCTTCGGAGAGCGCTGGACCCTCGGCCCCATCTTCGCAGCTCGCTCTGGTGGTGTCCCAGGGTGAGCCCCAGCTGCAGTTGCCACGTCCTTCAGATTTGTCGGTGTCGAGCGTGTGCCTGCCCAAGACCGTTCGAGGAGTTTTTGCTGCAGATAGGTTTATTATGGCTGTGCAGTGTTCCCTGGAGTATTCGAGGTTGAACCCTTCCGTGAGGGACCCTGATATGCTCACGATCTGCGACCACCTGTCAAAGCTAGATCGCGGGGTCTTGAATTTCAGGGGGATGCAGGACACTCTTGGTGTGGACTCGCAGGCTGTCCAGAGTAAGATGCGCCGACTTTGCGGAGATGACAATCGATCTGCAGGTGGCCGAGCGGGTTGCGCAAGATAACCGTGTGGTCGCACTTCTTGGTGGGAATAACTGTCTTTTCTATATCGAGCAGACGCGATACGACGAGACGCCGATGAAAGTGAGCGTGGTCGACGATATGAGAACCCAGAATGCCAGCCGAGAAGTATCGGGAGCTGTTGTGCCACATGAGCGCGTTGTTGATCAGCGGCTTCGGGTTGTCTGCTCGGACCGTGCGTCGGCGAACCTTTTGACTGAGCGCATGATTGCACGTGACCGTGGTGACGATTGGTCGACTCTGTTCTGCCCGTGTGAAGTGCACATGTCTTCTGGTTGTTTTGAGAAGGTCATTGGGGCCAGTTTCGTGGAAGTCGTAAGTGGGTCTATGCATTGTGCTCTTTCTCTGAACCACGGCCCCACCATGACAGTCTTTCGGAAAGCACTCGAAGCGACGATCATGTCGATGCCGTTGGAGATCTTGTCTGGAAGCCCGCCCGCAGAAGCACAAGAGTATAACAATCACTGTCTTCGGCTTTTCATGACAATCGGTGCCAACCTGGAGGCCAAAAAGTTGTCGCTCGCAGTGCTTCCGAATGGTGACTGGCGCAGAACTGATGCCATCGAATGTTAGGTTGACCCAGAGTTTGTTGAGGCCCGTGGTAAAGATTATATCGCTAAATTGATGTCCAGGGGGCTCACGTTCGCTTTGGCCAGTAGTCAGCCGAGCATCTGGCCCAGGGGCAGGTGGCTCGGAGCGGACGTGGCTATTCAAGAGCTCGGTCGACTCGAATGTGTGCACGGTTTGTTGAGCAAGTCGCACCCTCTGTTCTGTCGGATGATGGGTGGCAAGTCAGACGTTGCAACGGTGGTTGCTGGTGTTCCTCGGCCTCCGCTCTTGCCGGTTGCCGATGACGACGCTCTGCCCCCTCTCCCCCTCGAGGACATCCCCGCCGATGACGCTGCCAGCGGCCTGGGCCGTGCTGCCGGGCAGGGCGGCGCGGGGGAGAGTGGGGCGGGGGGGCACGGGGAGGGCAATCAGTCAGCGGAAGATCACCACAAGAGTCGTCTGAAAGCGGCCAAGTGGCTCAGTAAGAACGGCGTTCTGGGGCAACTCATGTTAATGAGAAGCGCGATGTTCCCTCTAGTAGAATTGATTGCTGACCAGCTGTTGCTGGGGTCGGCCGACTGGGAGGTTAAACAGAGAGCGCAAGTTGCCCAGAAGCACATCGATGGTGAGGATGCCAGCCGATGTCGCACGTATCGGGTGCTCGCAGCAGGGTCTGGTGAGTTCGAGAATTACGTGTTTGATAAAGTTGCTGCAAAATACACCGATGCCGAGCACTGGGCGCATTACCCTAGATCTTGTATGACATTATCGTTCAATGCGTTGGCCTTCAAGGTTCTGAGCCGCTGTTTGTGTACGGTGGATGAGGTTCTGGCACTACCGCACGAAGGTTTTCCTTATCGATTGTTTCGGTTGCTCCGCTGCCCTGGTGAAGCTCATGAGATGTGTCGAGTTCCCGAATGTTTGCTGGACCCCTGGACCAAGGCCATGAAAGAAGCCCACCCTACGCTCTCGGGGGAAGTATTCATTGAGAAGCTGCGTACGGTCGCTCTCATGCAGTATACCGATATGTCTGGTATTGAAGCTCGGCATGCTGGTGTCAGGAGACATCTCGTGACCAGGTCTGCTCAGACTCACGCACTTGATGTACGCGATGCCAGTTCAGAATATGTATTCCAGCAGATGCGCACGACACGATTGAGTTGCAGGCATTCCTTGGTGCGCAAACGAGTGTACAAGAAGAAGACTCAGACAGTGGGAGGGGCATGGTCAGTTTGAGTCTCTTTGGTCAGTCTTGAGTTGTGGATGGTGGGACGGAGGGTTGTTTTTGAACCAGCCCAGTGGCGAGGAGGAGGAGGAGGGGTGGAGGGGAGGGGGTGGAGGGCAGTGAGTGGTCATGGCGCTGCGAGTGCAGTAATCGCATTGTCTGCTACTCCCTCCAGCCTCCTCTCCCCCTGCCCTCGCTGTCCCCCTCTCCTATTTATGCACTGCCCACCTCCCGCCCCAGTCCTCTCCCTCTCCTGCTCTCCCCCTGCTGTACCCGTCTGTTTCCTGGCCCCCCCTCTCCTTCTCCTCGACCGTGCGGTCCGAGCAGTTTCGCTTGTCTGAGCTATCGGCAGCCTGCAGGCTCCAGGATGCCCCCTGGCGTTCACAGTGGCCGCGCGACGTCCCCCAGCACCCCGCCACCCCCCGCACATCGTAACATTTGATGCTCGCAAGGGTAATTTCACTGACAATCCACGTCCGTTGGCCTCGTTCGGGCGCGTTTCCGTGGTCCTGGTGTTTTGAGGCGCTGCCCAGGATGGCCCAGGAGAGTTTGTGGAGCGTTGCATATTTGAACCGTTCCTCGGCGCATTGCATCTTCGCATCGATGCATGCTGTTGTGTTCTGGCGATGGGCCGTCAGATATAGTGACGCCGTGTTTATTGATAGTGTGTTGCATTGCTGCGCCAGGCAGGTTGGAGTTCGTTGCGTTGCATTGCGTTCTGAAGTGCCCCCCTCATCGGCTGTTACCCGCTCAACCCTCCAGCGGCTTTCTTGGAGGGGTGCGGCGCGCGCTATGGCATAAGTGTGGGCCCCGAATGCCAGCGCCTATGCCATGCCCCCATTTGGTGCCGTCGGCGCCTTGGACGCGCCATTCCCTCCTGACTTTGGCGGCGGGGGAGCGCCGTCACTTGAAATGCACTGGGCCCCCCCAAGCCCGCCGAACTTGAGCGCGCTGGGCGGGCTGAGTCACATGATCTGGCTCCTACGCGCGCCGTGCTGCACCGAAGCTAGGTTCGTCCGAGGTTCGAGTGCAGGGCCCGACTCCATCTCCCCAGCCCTCCCCTCTTCCACGTTCCATCCTCCAGCCTTGCCGCAGTTCCCACCATCACGTAGCGGGCAGCATGACTGTGTGTAGAATGATGGGCCTGTATGTTGACATGGCACTATACATGTAGTGCACGTTGGTCGTATGTGTTCGTATGCAAGTAGGTGTTGCAAGCATTGGTTCATATAGGGTGGGATGCCGTGATTACCATGACATGCGCGCATTCCCTACGCGACTAGATTGGTATGTGCCCATATGTACAGTTTTGTTAGGTAACACATGTAGTACTTGTAAGAGTAGTAACATAGAACGTGACATATGAAACACTTCGTTTTAATAATACATGACCAGTATGTAGATAAGTAGCTTCCGCCCCGCGTTGCCCCGCGCGCACACCAACAAGCGCAATCCGACAGCGCGTGTTGATTTGGGAAACGTGCGCCCCAATGGACCGCATCCAGAGGAGGGGCGCCAGGAGTGAAGCGGACGATGAAGTAACTATTGATGGTCTGAGTCAGCGCGTTGTTGATTTCGTTAGTGGCCTACTGAATGTGAACGTGAACTGTTGGGATTAAAGCGCGCGTTGCGTAATGAAGCCTTGCGCGGGCAACGGGGCGAATGTTTCACGTTGTAGTTTGCCGCCCTTCTGGCGGCAGCAAGGTTTCCCAACGTGCATCTATATCTATGTACTAGCATCGCCACCTATGCGCCTGAC